TGCAGTGATGAGAAGTCAGAGAAGAGGATCCTAGACCACAAAGTGAATGGTTCAAAGAGCTTCCCTTCCCCTCTTCTGTCATCTCTCCCTGTCTTTTCATAGAGGATGTAGCCTCATGTATTTCACTTTTTTCTCCCACAGTCCTCAGTCGCCCCAGAGGCCTAGAGTTTCACTTGTCTACAGAGATGAGACTTGGTGGGTATCAATAGACCACTGAGTGTGCCCCCTTGGGAAGACACAGCTTTGTGGACCTCACACAAGCCCATGATGAGCAACGCAATCCTTTGAGGCTCCAACAGCCTCAGGATGCAGACCCTTGGTGCGCCCTGGTTCCCCTGGAGTCTTACCACCAAGAAACAGGGCTAAGCGAGTGCCAGAAAACAAGAGCTTCAACTCTGCCTCTTGCCCTGTGCACCTCCTTCATATCCTAGCTCCAGTCCTCTCTCCCAAGGTCTTTTCTTTTCTATGAGTCTCTGATCTCCACTTGTTCTCCCTCTGGCTCCATCCAGAGCAGACTCGGTCACTAATTATGTCTGGTGCTCCTCAAGGGTTGCCCCAAGATACCAGCTCCAGGGTTGTCTTAACAAACTGGAATTGTGTCTGCATACTCCAGGACTTTGTACCTGTCATCTCTGACCATATTCAAAGAACTGGAACTCTGAGCTCACTGCCTTCCTGAGATAAAGTATTCTTCACCCAAGAACTCTGCATAAACAATCAAAGATGGCTCATACTTCAAAGGATGGGAAGCGCCTATCATTCACCCTGAAATAAATGGAGGGATGAGATATCCTATGAGGTGCTAAAGTTCTAAGTAAATATTTTGTTGTCATTGTAGCACAGCATGTCATAATGTTCTAACACATAAAATAGTGAGCCTATTCCAAAAATGGAAAGAGCTAAATGGTGGCTTTGCAGGATGAGGGAAGGAAATGGGCTGTTTGGAGATGATGTTCAAGTGATAGAGGGTTTTCACTTATCTTTTCATTTGAATGCTGAGCAAGTTCTTTAGGTTTAACACATACCAGTCATTTTTATAAAAGTGTTTAGCCAACTATCAGGGTACTAACAACCACAACAAAATGGCGGCAGGTAGTGGTAAAAACCATTAGGATGGGAAATAGAACTGGATTTTCACCTGGATTTTGAGGCTGTGAATGGGAACTTTGTTTCTTGGTTCTTCAGGAGAGATTCCCTAGGGAAAGAATCTCAAGGTCCACCTTCTTCCTGCAAAAAACAAACCTCAGAAACAAATGTGTATATTTCAACATTCTACTCCAGTTATTCTGATTTCTTTCCTAGGAAACACTCATGCGTATAAACGATATCTGTAATTTAGTTTCTGTGGTCCTTAGTTTGCTGCCCCCTGAACTAGTCCTCTGTTCTGTCTGGCTGTCTGCACTAGGCATGGCCTTGGGACACCGTAGCTGCTAGCATCACTATGTTTGCTTCAAGTTTTTCTGAATGACCTTGCCAATACATGATAGAAAGAAACAAAAATAAGAAAAAATGCAACTGTCAAGCAAGAAACAAAATGACCTTTTGCAGTTTACAAATAAAATCAAAGGGGATAAAGACATGTAAATTACTTAGTTTTCATAATCTAGAAATTACTTGATGGAAGTGTGGAAAGAAAAATGTGATGAACAAATCAGAGTTCACAGAGTTTATTGAGTGAAAATCTATTCTCCAACAGGAGCCTACCACACCGAAAGTGGTAAGGGGCTCATTTTAGCAGTACAAGCAGAAGGGCTTCAAAGACAATGAGGGGATTTCCAGTAGGGAGGTTACAATGATTGGATCTTAGGTATGTCTTGAATTGATAGGAGGGTCTTGCAAAGAGGGGGCCTTTCTGTCATTGGCTTTGTAAGCACACTTTTCTGATGGGAATTTGTGGAGTCTATATGGTGCATCAGAAACATCCTTCAGTATCAAGCAGTTTTTCTGAGAAAGTTCCTATGGTTAGAACATTTTGAAAACTCCCTGTTCTTTCAAGGTTTGTACCTGACAAAATTAGCTATTTTGATTTATTCTTCTCAGAAAAGTTTTGCACCTGGCACAAATAGCCATTTAATTTTTATTTAATATTTAACAGGAGGGATAGCAGCAGAGATTTCCTAAAAAACATAAAATGAAGGTTTAATAGTTCTTGGGAAGATTCTCTCAAGAAATGTGTAGGTGTGTATTTAAACATTCTGCTCCAATCATTCTGGTTTATTCCCAAGGAAATACTCATGTGTGCATCAAATCTTTGTAACTTGGTATCCAGATCCCACTGGATGAGAGATCTTCCAACTTTTCCTGTAAAAGCCCAAGATAATAAATAATTTACACTTTGAGGCCATAGGCTCAATTGCAACTACTCACCTTTACTGTTCTAGTATGAATGTATTCATAGACAACACAAAAATGAATGAGTGTGGTTGTGTTGCAATAAAACTTATTTACAATAACAGGTGAGAGAACTGCACCATTATATAGTATTTCCACCATACAGATGAAATAGATGTAAATGTCCTCAAGAGCTTAGGTAATAGTATGTAGAAAAACAATTAGGAAATGATGTGTTTTGAGTATTTATTACCTTTGTGTGTAATAAACTTTCAACTTTCAAGACCGTATCTAATGATCCCTGTCTCCTTATGTTCATACACTCACATAGTCTTATCCCACACTGTTGCCAGGTTGACTTTAGTGTGATCAAATAGAATATGGCAGAAATGATGACATACCAGTACTGTTACTAGGTTATAGGAAACATTGTAGCTTCTGTCTTGGCTACTCATTCTCTCTTGGATCATTCTCCCTGGAAGAGGCCAACAAAACAATTGTGAGGGCACTCACGAGTCTCTCAGGAATGTGAATCAGCCATATTAGAAGTGGATTCTCCAGCCCTAGTTAAATCTTCAATGAATAAAGTACAGCCAACAGCAACTTCATGAGCAACCATAAGCAAGAACCACCCAAGTAAGCTGTTCTCAAATTGCTGATGCACAGAAACAAGATGATAAATGTTGTTACTTTAATCTGCTAAGCACTGGGTAATTTTTATGTAGTAATAGGTAACTCCACTACCCATATGTCAGTTTGTCGTGTTGTGGTGGCTTGTGTGTTGCTGCGATGCTGGAAGCTATGCCACCAATATTTCAAATACCAGCAAGGGTACCCCGGTGGACAGGTTTAAGCAGAGCTTCCAGACTAAAATAGATTAGGAAGAAAGGCCTGCTGATCTACTTTCAACAATTAGCCAATGAAAGCCTATGGATCACCATAGAGCACTGTATAACTCCCTTGCTTTGGACACGTTATCGGGGGAACAATCACTGGAGGATGATGTCGTTTTGGTGAAGTGGAGGGCCAATGAGGGCATGGGAAACCCTTGGTAAGATGGATCTGCACAATAGTCACAACAATGGACTCGAACACGCTGGTGACTGTGAGGACGATGCAGGACTGGGCAATGTTTCATTTTGTTGCACATAAAGTCACCATGAGTCAGAGAGGCTTGAGGGCAGCTATCTATCTATGTATCTATGTTTCTATGTATGTATGTATGTATGTATCAGATAACTAATGCACTTTCTTGTAAATATATTTTAATTAATTGGAGGTGATGTAATTTAATTTTTAATAACGGCTGTGTTTAATACCTGGCTCACAAAATTCTAGTAAATTTAGTAATTGACCCTAGCCCACCACTGCTTGTATTTTTTAACTCACTCTTACGAATATTAGATTAAACAGAATTCCAGTTAGAAACTGTATTGGTTCACTAGAGAAATTAGTTAAGGTTAATAATGCCTAGGGAAAAGCATCAGAACCACCAAATTTTTGTGGAACCAACACCACCATCAGTTGCTGTAGAGTCAACTCCGATTCATTGAGACTCCATGTGTTCAGAGTAGAACTGTGTTCCATAGGGTTTTCAGAGGCTGAAAGTAAATCATCAGGCCTTTCTTCTGAGGCACTTCTGGGTGGACTTGAACCTCCAACTTTCTGTTTAGCAACTGAATGCATTAACCATTTGCACCACCCAACGACTCCCCTTGTAGGAAAGTGCCCATCCTCACAGGAAGACAGGAAAACTGCAGGGCTGTTCCCAGGACAGGGACTTAGTGATGGAAGGGGAAGGCAATTGTGATGTATCACAGAGTCTATCACTCAACTCTCCCAGCTCAGCTCTCTTGGATATTGGGCCAAAGATGAGGAACGCTAAAAAGCAAAGCATCATCTTCCCCTTTCCTGCAGCAACGTCTTCAGATAGTTTCTTAGTTGCTATTGTTTCACCATCAGATATGCAGAAGGAGAACCCACCAAAGAGGTCCGTCTGAGTAGACCAGGGTGGACACAGTATTGACTGAGATAGTGTCATTTTTTCAGTGGTGTCCAGGCTGGTCTGCACAGGTGTGGGCAGATGGGGCATTAAAGGGAAGATTTTACTGAGAACTGGGAACTGCAGTGAGCAGGTGTTTCCTAGTCTCTCTGTTCCTGATGTTGAAGAGTTGGAAAGAGTCTCATTCCAGGGCCATATCACACAGGCAAAGAGGAAGATGCCATTTACCCCAGACAAGTCATCTGAGAGGGTGTTTTTTGTTTGCTTATTTTTTGGAGTCTCTAGGTAATGCAAATGGTTAAGGCATTTGGCTACTAACTGAAAGGTTGGAGATTTGAGTCCACCCAGAGGTGCCTCAGAAGAAAAACCTGGTTATCTATTTCTGATAAAATCAGCCATTGAAAACCCTATGGGCACATTTCTACTCTGACACACATGGAGTCATCATGAGTTGGAATCGACTCATTGACAACTTTTTTCTATTTGTTTTTATTTTGTTTTGAAGGAGTAAAAGATCTGAGAGAGAACTGGAATTTAAACCTGTGTTCCTGGAAGGCCCCTCTGCACAGGGTTAAGGAAGCATCTTTAGAGAAGGAGGGAGTCTGTGAGCTCGGGGAGGTTTTTGTCTCACTTCCTCGTGGGCTTGAACCACTGTGGTAAGTGTTACTGCTGGCATATGACATACAGTAATAGTTAGCCTCGTCCACAGCCTGGAGCCCGGAGATGATCAGGGAGGCTGTACTGCCAGACTTGGAGCCAGAGAATCGGTCAGGGATCCCTGAGAGCCGATTACTGACACTATAAATTCGGAGTTTGGGAGCTGTGCCAGGGTGCTGTTGGTACCAGGAGACATAGTTATATTTCCTAATGTCACTGCTGCTTCCAGCACAGGAGATAGTGACCGTCTGTCCCAGAGACTTGGACACTGAGGGAGACTGACTCAGGGCCGACTGGGCCTAGGACCCTGAAAAGAAGGAAAAACACACTCTGGTAAGTCCAGTACTGGCCCCAGGTGAGCCTGAAAAGGAGGGATGAAGGGTCTGCCCAAGTGTCCCTGATGGTCTCTTCCCTTGGATCTCTCACCTGTGCTGTGAGTGAGGAGGGTGATGAGGAGCGGAGCCCAGGCCATAGTGGAGATTCCCCAAGAGCACCGTGTCCTGTCATCCCCATCTGGGCCTGGCTCTCAGACCACTATTATCCCCTTCCCCTGCTCTCTGATGAAGGAGGGGCCTCCAGGCATATCTGCTTCCTGCATCTGCTTCTCCCTGCCTCACTTCCTTACCGTTACTGGGGGCGCCTTGCATTCCTGGACAGCAAAGTGTATCTGAGGGAATTATATTATCGATTAAAAAACATGTTGCCTTCGAGTTAATACCAACTCATAAAGACTCTATGAGTAGAAATATGCTCCATGGGTTTTCAGCTCAGCAGTTACCTCTTTTCTTCTTCTTCTTTTTAAAAATATTTCATTGTGTTTTGGGTGAAAGTTTACACAGGAAATTAGGTTCTCACTTAACACTTTCTATACATATTGTTCAGTGGCATTGGTTACATTCTTCACAATATATTAGCATTCTCGTTATTTCCATTTTGGTTGTTCTGTTTCTTTTAATCTAGCTTCTGCATCTCCCCTTGCCTTCTCATCTTTGGTCTAGGGTAAATGTTAACCATTTGGTTTAATCTAGCTGATTATTTTGAGAAGCACAGTACTCACGGGTGATATTATTTATTTTATGGGTCAATCTTTTATTTGGCTGAAAGGTGATCTCTGGGAGTTGTTTGAGTTCCAAGTTTAAAGAGAATCTCTGAGTGATAGTCTCAGGGGTTCCTCTAGTCTCTACCGGTCCAGTAAGTCTGGCCTTTTTTTAGGAATTTGAGTTTTGTTTTACGTTTTTCTCCCATTCTATCCAGCACCATCTACTGAGTCCCTGGTTGGAACAGTTGGTAGTGGTAGGTGGGCACCATCTAGTTCTTCTAGTCTGGAGGTAGATGATATCATTGTTCATGAAGACTATTGGTTCTGTAGACTAGTTTCTTCTTTGAGTCTTTGGTTTCCTTCTTTTTCTTTTGCTTCAGTTGAGTAGAGACCAATAGTTGTATCTTAGATGGCTGCTGGCAAGCTTTTAAGACCACAGATGCTACTCACCAAACTAGCAGTGATTTTTTTCCCAGTGGAATGTTTGTGTCCCCTTGACCCCCAAACCTGGAACACACCCCGCAGTGCCCTCCACCAAGAAGAACACTTAGGAGACAACAACCGTTTGGAAGTAAGACTGCCCACCTACGTGAAAACACCTGATTTTTCTCCATTGATAACTCTAAAAAAGCCAGAGGAAATGGCACATCTTGGCTCAGCAGCAGCCTTGTCCTTGTTCCCAGCCTCTGTAACCTGTAAGCCCCCAATGTCTGGTTCTGAACCCTTTGTAGGGTCTTCCCACCCACAGATCAGGAGGAAGAATGACAAACCACCTTCAGGGGACTCATTTCAGTGGGGCCTGCAAGCACTGAAAATTCAGAGAGGGGAACTTTCTCTCTGTTTGGAGGGGCTGATTTCCCAAGAGAGTGGCATGAAACCTGGTTGCTTTTGTTCCTCTCTGTCCCCTTGCTACTTAGTCCAGGACATAGTACAGTTACAAGAAGTGCATGCTGTACAGGGTAACAGAAGTCCAGTTTTCTGGTCGAGGCAAAAAAATGGGAGGCCCAGGAATAGGGAAGTACTGGAGAGTTAACGGAAATGGATAAGCTTGGAAAAAAACCCTGTAAATTGTTTATCTGTTCTGAACTGTGCATGCATTAATCTGATTCTAAGAAGCATAAGGAAGACTTTGAGAAGAGATTCTAGAGCTAGACCACTGATCAGGTCCCAAAACGGCCACTGGGTGATGCACACTTAAGACAGATTCAAATAGCACTGCAAAGGTTTGTAAATTGGACTAACACTGAAACCACAACTCACAGAAGGCTGATTGGAGCTTGCAGCCTGAACTCAACAGGGTCAATTATGTGCTAATACAAATATATCGGTGTTAATATAGAAACAATACCCAGACTTTCCTAAATAATATTGGATATGTCCAGGATAGACTCCAATATTACAAAGGTTATGATGAACCAGGGATAGCCCAAACTGACATTTAACAGAATCTAATCCTGAGATGACAGATGTATTGGAATTATCTGACAAAGAATTTAACAACTATCATAGGTAAGGGCAAACCCTCTTGACATGAATACAGAGATAGTCTCAACAAAGAAATAGAATATATTATGAAGTATGAACTGGAACTACTAGAAATGAAAACTACAATAGATAGAATTATTAACAGATTATACATTGGACTAAAAAAATCAGTGACTTGAAGGTAACAGAAATAGCAACAGAAATTGTCTAATATAAAATGCATAAAAAAAGAATTAAGAAAATGAAAAAGTATAATTGAATAGTGGGATAACTTTAAGTGGCACAGTATACATGAAATTGGAGTTCCTGAAAAAGAGGAGACAGAGGAATGAACAGATTCAAAAACTCAACAAACCCCAAGCACAAGGAACATGAAGAAAAACATACCAAGGTATATTATAGATCCTCGGGTTTGGGCCACCTCTTTCCAGTGACCGTCCCCATCCAGGTCCTTCAAGAGATGGGTATCAGAGGAAGCTGATCTTGCCAAGGTGCTGGCAGCAATGACGACTTCTTGTAAGCCCAAGGAAGTACTGCTCTGTGTGTCTGCCCTGGATTCTTACCTGCACTTTCATATCTGTACTAGGTTTGTTCTGATCATGGTGAAGCCAAGCCTTAATGTCCTGATCAGTCAACAATGATCATATTTTCTCTCCTCCTCCCAGAGATGGAAACACTGGTGGCATAGTGGTTAAGAGCTTTGGCTGCTAACCAAAAAGTAGGCAGTTCGAATCTACCAGGTGCTCCTTGGAAACTCTATGGGGCAGTTTTACTCTGTCCTATAGGATCCCTATGAATTGGAAATGACTCGATGGTAAGAGTTTTTTGTTTTTGTTTTTTCTCCCAGAGATGTGTTCTTGGATGCACTCTTGTGACAACATGCTGAGCTAGAAAATTTGGGGCACCTAATCCTTTCACAGTATTTCTGCTAAACACCTATTTCCTGGCTCACAACACAACAAGGACAGATGTCCAAGTCTGGAGGCCCTTATCATCCCCCCATGACCTCTCCTGTTGTCTTAAGAAGGGGCTTCAGCAAACTGCCTTGGAAGGTTATCCAGACACTGACCATGAGCCTCTGTTAAGCTTAACATCACCGGTGTCCTCACCAAATGGACACATTGCTCTTTTTTAATCATCTCATTTGTTGCTTTGCTACACATTGATTCAAAACTACAAGATAAGTTGTTTGTGGCTGCATGTCTAGGTGGAAAGAATCTAAAGAGGAAACTATATTACTGATATTGGTGCCCATTAATCTATTTGATTCACCAAAAGAAGCCCAAGCTGTTCTCACATCTGGTGCTAGCCAGCCCTGCAGTGACCTCTTTTCTGTGAAATGACTGTGTCTCCCTGACCTTCCAACCCTGGGCACACCCTGCAGCCCTCTGCCAAGAAGAACCCTTAGAGACCACATTCATTAGAAGTGAGGTGCCCATGCACATGGAAGCACTTGCTTTTTCTATGTGCATTAACTCCAAAAAGCCAGAGTAAATGGCCAGTCTTGGCTCAGGTTGCAACCTTACTCACATCCCCAGTCTCCATGTCCCTGCAGCACCCACTGCTTAGTGCTGAACCCTCTGTAGAGTTTTCCCCCCCTACAGATCAGGAAGAAGAATGCCAAATCACTCGCAGGGGACTCATCTCAGTGGAGATCTGAAAGAATAGAACACCCTAGAGAGAGGAACTTTAGAGAGGGGCTGATCTCCCAAGGGGGTGACATGAAACCTCATTGATTTTATTCCTCTCTGTCCTCTTGTTATTTCTTCCTGCACATGAGACAATCACAAGAATACACATTAGGCACAGGATTTAAAAAAAAATCCCAGTTTTCAGGCCAGAGGACCAGAAAAGGGAGGTCCAGGAAACCAGAAAGTTCTGGGGAGATTATAGAGATGGATAAGCTTGGGAAAGAAATCTTGTAAATAGTTCATCAACACCTGAGCTCCCTTCTGATTTCCATGCATGGATCTAAACAGAATAAGAAACACTTTGAGACTAGAATTAAGGAATGAACCACTGTTCAGACCTCAGAAGGGCACTAGGTGGCAAAAATTCAAGACAGATCCAAACAGCACTGCAAAAGTGTTGTAAAATGAACTGACATTAAAACAACGACCCACAGAACGCTAGTCAGAAATTCCAGACTGAACTTAACTGGATTGATCATGTGCTAATACAAAAATCTCAGCATCAGACTCAAACAAAACCCAGAGTTTTGTAGTATAATATCTGATATTTCCAAGATTCAATCCAAAATCACATGACATATGAAAAATTACCACAATCTCAACTAGCATGGGAAAGATGCTTAACAGAATCTAACCGTGATATGACAGATGTGTTGGGATTATCTGACAAAAACTTTAAGACAGATTTTTAAAACTATCTAAGATAAGGACAAGTTCTCTTGAAATAAAAGGAGAGATACAATGTCTCAGCAAAGAAATAGAAGATATAATATGGAATTACAAAAGATTAAAACAAAATTAGATAGGTTTAATAGCAGATTATACATTGGAGAAGAAACAAAAATAGTGACTTGAAGTCATAGAATAGAAAGTATCCAGGAGGTGGGGACAAGAAGGCAGAGTAGTCAGATGCTTCAGGTGGTCCCTTTTACAACAAGGACCTCAAAAAACAAGTGGATCAATTATGTATGAGCAATTGGACTGAGTGGCAGAGGGAGAGAGAGACGGTTCAGAAGCAGCGAGGAGTTGCCAGACCTGACCCGGCGGTAGCTGGAGCCCGTCAGGCCAAATCAGTTCGTGGTGCATGCTGAGGCAAGCAGCGGCGCTCGGGAGACCTTTTCCACACCGGGAGAGACCCAGCGGCAGAAAGTATTCTCAGTCATCCAGAACCAGTGAGAAGCAGCCTTGATTAGCAAAAGATAAGCACCTGCGTCTGGCCTACCGCACGGATCAAAAACAACCCCCTTTGGGGAAAAC